TCATTTTGCCCTCTCCAGACACCCAAATTGGAAGCTTAGCTGATGGGAGTGCAAATGTCCTCCAGAAAGGACATTTGCAAGAGCGTTGGCAGGCAGGGGAGAGGCTGAGCAAGACTCTAACCCACCCGTTTTGTCCGGCGACTCCTGTGTCTTAGCAAACTGAGTGCATTGGAAATCATTTTGGTGAGATGAATTTTCCTGATGATGGTGGTGGGAAATGATTTCATGCAACAATCCACACTTGTGTCCAGCGATCTGAGAATGTTTCCTCACTGGGTTGCACTGTTGCTCAATGATACACCAGAACAGCTCCATTATTTAGCTCAATTTGGCCTAGCTGCTACCGTAACAAAAAATCCTTAATCTACTTCTTAATCCTCCCCTCTCATATCTGTAGATACAGATATAAATTTTTAAGAGGTCATGCTGTGAAATCTAGGAGTTTATTTTCATTCTGGCTTTAACACATTTTACTTAGGAAAAAAAGGCCCGTTGAGTTAGCTGCCATCCTGGTCTGGTGCTTGTCATTTGTGTGAGTGTTTTTAATGCAGGAATGAAAGCAGAAGAGGGCTATTTTAAAATCCCATTTGCATTCCAGCCAATGTTGGCACAACATTAGAATTGTAGACACAGGAAATGTAAAAAAAAAGAGGGGGGAACTCACCCAACAATTTAAGCATCACTTAGGAGAGCGGCCCCCAGTCTTGTGGTTTGGCTTCTAGGTCATGTTTTCTATATGGGCTGCTGTCCGTGATTTAAAGTTGATTAGAAAACAGTATATTCGTTCCATGAAAAATTATTTCCCCCTCTTCTCTTCCAGACTTGCAAGAATGCATTCCTTTTTGCTTTTTCTAAATCAAAGCTAATATACATCAGAGCACATGGTGACAACATTTAATAACCAGCTGATAGGAACACGGCAAGCTGAAAATGTGGGAAAACAGTGACATCTATTGATAAAGACTAGCAAGCTTTAAAATATCAACATTTTTTTTAAAATCTCTGGGAAGTGGAAGAATGGCTCTAAAACTGCAGTGTGTCTCCTGTTTGTCTGTCACCTTGTAGGCTTTTCACAATTTTCTGTAAAAAGAAGAAAGATATATAATACCTCACTGGTTTAAGTTCAGTATGAAATGGAGAAACTATAATGAAGCAAAGGATTCCAGTGAGGAAAGAGCACTATTTTGCTATGCACCAAAATTACGAAGGTACTAATATCATAGAATCAGGTCACTTGGAAAGATAATACAGGTAGCCAGGGGAGAAGGAGCTGACTCAGGGCTACTTTGGTTGTCTGCAAGGACTTGAGGGTTGATAACAACCATTATAACCTGTATATTAATAATTATTAGATCACTATTTTCAATTGCAAAGCTCTAAGGCTGTTTCCATGTAGGACTCTGTTCACAGATAATTCATGGCGTAATACCCTGAACTGGAAACTGGGAGGTTACCAGCTCCCGAAGGAGAGTTTCTTTAGACTTTGATTCTGACATTGTCACCTGCACTGATTCGATTTCTGCTCTGGATTAGCAGAAATAAGAATAGCAGAAAGGCTTCCAGTGACCAGCAGTTGGGTTAGACACTCAACACACTGAACCATCAAATGCTTGTCATAATGGTTTCTTAAATTGTGGTACTGGGATGCTTCGTTCTGCAACTGACCAAAACAGCGTTGAAGAAAGCAGTTGTTAGTGCTAAGTGTTGTAAGTTCTTTGTCTCTTGCATGGAAACTTTCTCAAAATCTCATAGATCTGTGAGTGACCAGAACTTTATTTTCAGAAGCCATGAAGCACTGGGGCAGGAGCTGGTACAGGTGGATTTACTGATGGTATGGTTTGCAGGGAGTTGGGGAAAAGGAGTCTGAGAAAGAACTTTCTACTAATCAAAGTTTTATAGCTACACCATTTTAATCTTGCTAACCATTTTAATGCAGTTTGTTTATATTGATATACTGTTTCATTCTTTCTTCCAAACCAACCCTAGGAATTTGATTGAAGGAGGATGACATGCTATAATAAATAAATAAATTAGTAATGCTGTGTCACAATGGTTTTCTGAGTGTGTTTTTGATGCAAAGGAGGAATTGTAGCTCCATTCAAGGGCACTGGCTCTTGATTACTTGTATACAACTGGAGTTGGGGTGAGCCAAAATGAAGATGTGAATAATCCGTGAATCTGCTTGGATTCAGTGTACATCTGGCTAGATGAAAAGTTTCTTGCTGACAATCATTTTATGTTTATACAAATCAATACAGCCTGCAAACAGCAAATCAATGCAGAACATTCCCAGCTGCTGTAGTTAATGGACAAGAAAAGAAAAGAAGACAGATGTGAAAACTGCTCTGTTTTGGGATTTTATTTTATTTTATTAGCAAGCCAGGTGTCCAGTTTTCCATATGGTGTGGAAATACCTTAACAATGCTGGTCCACACTTTGCAACTTCCAAAAAGTTGGACCACTGCAACACCATGGCAGGTGATCTAGAAGTTTTGACTAATGCTGAATCTGGCTGCTAGAAGGTACATGGGTACAACCAGATGGAATTATATTCCCCAGATCCTGATGAGGCAAACAGATGACTTATTTGGTTCTGGACCCAATTCAGAGTCCTGGTGTTTGCTCTAGTTGAAAACCATAAGGGTGCCAGGGACCCTAATACTTGAAGGAGTGGCTCTTCCTATACCGTCTTGGCAAGGGGGAAAGGAGTATCTCAAAGTTCCATCTACTCATTATTTGGCAACTGGGGGGGGGGGAGGGAGCTCCCTTTATGGTACTCTGCTTATGAAGCATTTCTGCAGAAGTGCACCTGACATAACCTTGCAATTTTGGGGCCACCAAATGCATGGTGGGGCAAAGAAAACTCCCAACTTCAGGTAACACTGATGGGTTTGAGGTAGCAGGGACTGAGCAAGAAAGGGAGCTTGGGATAGTGGGATTGTAGCAGGGAGCTCAGTGAAAATGTCAGCCCAGCGCTCAGCTGCTGTGAAAAAGGCGAACTCCAAGCTGGGCATCATTAGGAATAGAATAGGAAATAGAATTGCCAACATTTTACTTCCCTGCCGCAAAACTTGGGTGCAGCTGCACTTGGGATATGGTGTTCAGTTCCAGTCGCCTTCCCTGAAAAGGGTCATTAGTGAAAAGTATAGGGAAGGGCAGCCAAGATGTTCGGGGGCTGGAGCAGAGGCCCTGTGAGAAGCAGCCTCAACGACTGGGACCGTTCAGCTTAGAAAAGGCGAGGAAGGGGAGACACGATGGAGGTGTTTAAAGTAATGCCGAGTGTGAAGAACGTGGAGGTTTCTCGCCCTCTCCCATAACACTCGAACCCGGAGTCATCCCATGAGGCTGATTGGTGGGATGTTTAGGACAGATCAAAGGAAGTGCTTCTTCACATAACGTATAGCTAAACTATGGAATTTGCTGCCATGGGAATCCACCAATCTGGATTGTTTTAAAAGGGGATTGGACAGATCCGTGAGGACAGATCCATCCTGCTCGAGGGATCCTGTGGGCAGCTGGTGGGCCATGTGTGTTTGAAGTGCTGGGCTAGATGGACCTTTGCTCTGACCCAGCCTGGCTTCTCTTATGTTCTTATTGCAACGTGCTCTATGTGGAGCTGTCCTTAAAGATGGTCTGGATACTTCCGTTGGTTCAGAATAGAGCTGCCAGGATATTAACAGGGACTGGCAGGTGCTCACATATAATGCCAGTCCTCTATCACTTACACTGGCTGCCAGTTGAAGTCCAGGCCCAATTTAAGGTGCTGGTGATGCGATAAAGCCCCGAACGGCTTGGGTCCTGGATACCTGAAGGAGCACCTTCTTCCCTATTTATTTTATTTTATTTTATTTAAAACATTTTTATCCTGTCCTTTGCAACAAGCCTCAATATGCCCTCGCACCCCTTAAGATCTGAGGTGGAGGCCCTGCTCCGGGATCCCTCCCTGAAAGAGATTAGGAAGGTGGTCACCTGGGGGATGGCCTTCTCTGCGGTGGCCCCCCATCTGTGGAATATGCTGCCTAGAGAGGTTTGCGCAGTACCAACATTTTTTTTCTTTTTGGTGCCAGGCAAAACCCTTTTTATTTTCCCATTATTTTCATTTAATGTTAATTGGTTTTAATTGTGGTTTTAATATTTAATCACTGGATGCTGTGCCATTTATTTTATTTGTGCTTGTTGTAAACCATCCTGAGATGCCAATAAAGGGACGGTCTATACAAAAAAACTAAATAAATAAATATTCTTTTAGATGGCAGGTCAAAATTGTTCTGTGTGCCTGGGCATTTTTAGTCAGACAGTCAATTTTATACTGTTTTTGTTGGTTTGGTTTTTTTAAAAAAATATGTTGTGGTTGTATGAAAAATTGGTTTAGTATATTTTTACCAATCATCCCAGATACCTTTTAGCGTTGGGTAGTTTTGACATATCCTAAAGAATACATAAATACTATTTTAAGAACTTCATGAGTGGCAGAGGCTACAATCCTGTGCATGGGCAAAACTTCCAATGAGCTCAATGGGATTTGCTTAGGTGAGCACGCATAGGGCTGCATGAGGTCCGTGCATGCATGCACACACACTGCTGTACATGCGCAGCTGCATGCACTATGCGTGCCTGAACTATCGTGCCTTTGAATGCCCCAAGCTGTCCTTCCAGAGAGGGACTAATGCTGCACGCAAGGAGCATGGTGCTGGTTGGTTTGAAGACTGGTCTCTGGAAGGGGACGGAAGCCTTTCCCCTTTCTCTCCTCCCACTTCTGCTCCAAACCATGAAGTAGGTATGTATGTATTTTGAGGATTTCGACCCTGCCTTGCAGTTGAATGATGCTCAGGGCAGCTGATGAAAAGCCCACACGAAAAGCCCATGCTGGGCTTTGCTCTCGGGCAGAGGGGTAGGGTCAACGCATGCTTCCCTTCCAGCAACTGGAGGTGGGAGCCGTGCGTTTTTTCTGACAGGCGCTGCACTATGGGCAGGGAAAGACTAAACTTTGCCTTGCCGAGATGTTCTTCCTGGGGGCAGGGGGTGTTTCTGGTCAGCACCTGATCCGTAGGGATGGAAGACTCAGCCAGGTGTGAGCTCTGGCTTTGGTGCAAGTCCCAAATACAAGCTCTTAAAAAAAAAAGAGTGCCTCTTTATCTCAAATACAACTCAGCAAGGAAGTGGTTGTGCCACTGACTGTACACTGCACCACCCAGGCACCCATTGCCCGTGTGAACGCACACGCACGCGTGTTCCGTGCCTGGAAGGTCTTGTGGCTTTTTCAATTTTATTATGCTTATTGTTGTTTTTATCATTTTAGTGAAGAGCTCAGCAGTTTCGCATAGTGCTGGATTGTTGGAGGACTACCTGAATGCTATGTGTATTTCGGAACTGGATTGGATATTTACGTGTGATATATAAATATGATAAAATGAAGTGAATATGATTCTCTTATAAGAAGAAGGCTAGTCAATCGGGCATTGGACTACAGTTTCTTAGTTTGGATTTGCAAGAGAATTGCTGAATGGTTTGCTATACTGTTGTTACTGCTACAATTTTATGCTGACTTTTCCTTTCGTGGTCTGAAGGTCCCCCTGTGAAAATCTGCGAAAAGCTAGCTGAAAATATAATTTTCTTTAAGGCAAAGAAATGATGAGGACGTACGTGTATTTCCACTGCCTGCCCTTAGGTGTCATCTTACTACCTTCCCTAACTGCACAGTAAGGGACAGGAGTTGACATTCCAGGATCTCTCCAACCAAGAAGAAACCAGTGAAGTGACACCCTATGCTAGCATTTTGGGTGTGTTTACACACATAAGACTGTTTTACACATTCTGCAACAAGGAGATAAAGCTGGTCCTAGAATTCTGCAGAGCAGCCCTCCATCTGACTTGTATTTGTCTTGTATTTGCAAGCATTTAATCCAGATATTAATGTTTAGCTCTGAGTGGAAGTAGATGGATATGGAATTATAGGTCTGGATAAACATGTACTCAGATGGTCCTTTTAGTACATCCACTTTCTGTAATGTGATTGTAAAATCAGTGTTGGCTTAAATATACTATTGCCTTAAAGCCACCTACTAGACACTTTGTGGAAGAATTTCAAGTGCCCTTTTCAAAAGAGATAGTCAGAATTACATTCAGTCCAAATCTGGAAGCAAACCATCCTGATTTGCAGCTCCTGGACACAGATGTGGATTGGAGCACAGCTGTACTTCAGATTTCACACCTCGACTTGTTGAGAATTGTTCTCAATTTTAGCATTTCAGGGCTAAAATAACATACTAAAATGCATGCAACATACATTTAGAGAAGGATATTTTTGAGAGAAAATACTTTTAGAAATTCATATCTTGAATTCAGACTGTGTTCAAAACTATGCATTTATTTAAACATGAATGATGCAGAGTTTAAAACCCATGCAAAGTTTTAAAATGGCAGATTAATGCAGGAATGGGACAGGATGGACTTGGCTCTAAAACTGACATGGACCCAAGGCAGAATGCTTCAGCCATCTCTGCTTTTAAAGGCCAGGATCAAAAGAGCTACTCGACTACTTGCGAGTTATCCTGTCAGGTTTTTGTTTTTTTCTTTGTTTCTGTTTAGTTTCTAGAAAAGAGTGAAGCCCGGTGTTGAAGCAACAGTCGTACTACTGTTCAAAAAACACATCTTTCTTCATGAGCATTCTGAAGTAATTGCAGCGCTCTTTTGGATTTTGGGTGCAGAGAGACAATGTAGTGTAGAGGTTTGGGTGTTGGACTGGAGATCCAAGCTCTGGTCCCCATTTGACCTTGGAAATCTCTGGATGACCTTGGGCTGGCCATGGACTCTCCATTTAAGCAATCTTGCAGGCTTGTTGTTGCAAGGATAAATTTGAGAGGAGCAGGAAGAAGAGAGTATGAACCTTGGGGCTTTTGTAGGAGAAAAGGCAGGATATAACAAACAAGCAAACTCTCCTCTGAAGACACTGTTTTGAGTTCTTCTGAACTAACAGGCCACTCCTGAGAACATTTCATGTGCAACAATATTTATACCCTGCACTGACCACCCATTACTGTCTGAAATCATATCGCCAGCAGAACAGTCTTCCGTTTTTGTTTGTTTGTTTGTTGTTGTTTTTTTGTTGAATACTAAAATTTGCACTAGCTGCTGAACAGGAGCTAAATCGATCCCCTTTGGACCAGTTCTGGTTCTTCTCGAGGTGAGGTGGACTTCTGTCCTACATGACCAATAACAATGCTGGGTCCTGCATGACATCTCAGTCGTAATTTGTCTTCAGAAGGGTGGACAGCCTGTGACCAAGACTGTCATGTGTCCTTTATTTTATGGATGCATTACGCTTCTATGCTGCCCAATAGCCAGAGCTGTTTGGGCAGTGCACGGCTATTAAAACCATAAACTATAGTGTAAATACAGTGTCAAAGGTTTAAAGTTCAGTGTAAAATAGAAATGAAGGCAACAGTAAAACCTAGCAGCGTAGAAAGGTTTAAATTACAGTGAACACACAATCGTTTTCCCCTACCCCCACCCCGATGCACCTGACTTGGGGGGCGCTCTTCATCGTCTGCCCTGAACGAGCTTCAGTGCAGTCCTGGCCATACCTTGCACCCGGGTTTTATCCCAACAGCCAGTTTTAGCCATCTAGATAAACTGCAGAGAGGGAGGGAAGGGAGCTGGGACACTGATAGGAATCGCATAAGTCATCTGCCCCAGTCCCCCCTCCCCCACACCCAGCCCTGCCTCCGCTTCCATCTGAGGTGCATTTGAGATCTTGGGGGAGACTGTTTGCAGTTCTTTCTGCACCTGCTGCAAGAACAGGGTCTCAGTCTTTGGGAGCCCCAGTTCCGAGATCACAGGATCTCAGAGCTGGGACTCCGAATAACCCCATGGCACTCCCACTGCCCTGCAAATGAGCCCCGGAAGCCAGCGGATTGCTCCCTAGAAAGAATACAGACAACATACAGGAAAGACTATATGATTGGCTATGCTGGCCGGGGCTGATGGGATTCATAGTCCAAAGATCTGGTGGGCCACAAATTCCCCACCCCTGCCTAAATGCTGCTGAGGAGAGGAAGGAGGTTGAGTCAACCTTCTAATCATGGGGTAGATTTTACCAAGAGCTCTCCCATCCTTGTGCTTAGGAGGGGGGCAGGTTTGGGGCCATGAGGTGGATACTGTTCCAATGCTGTCATGCCTCCCTATGGGAAGGAGCAGCCAACTGAAGAATTGTGGTGTTTTCAGTCACCATAATTCTCTACTCCCTGCACCTATCCTTTTGCAACTTTTGGGTTTCTTTATTGGGGGCATCTCTGTAATGTGCTCCATTTTTATACAAATTGTTCCAAAATGCAGATGGAGGCAAAGAGATGCAAAATTGCCTCAGATTTGAGGACTGTTTTCCCCATAAGCCACTGCACCTGTCCTTTTGCAATGCTATGGTTTATCATCTTCCAAAGAATGGTCCACAGGGAATATAGGGTAAAGAGATTTTTTGGATACCCTCAAAATGTAGAGTCTGCTCTTGCATAACTCCCTGAATCTAGATAAGGTTGAACCCCAAGAAAAGGCCATTATCCCCACAGATTACACCTAATTCTTCCAATAAAGTAAGGAAATAAATGGTAGTCCTTGAAAATAACTAAAATATTGATTTCCACATGATAGTCAATGGGAGGCATGAATCCTTGGATTTCTTACTTTCAATGGGGCGTGGTACCTGAATCAAAGTGGACAGCTTCCAATTTTCCAGGCAGAATTCTCCAAAGTACTGAAATGGATTCCAAACCTCTGTTAAGTTCCAAATTTCATGAAGTAAGTGGTTGTTATGGGAATGGGAAAGATATTCATTTCTGGTCCCTGTCAGGCCACAGTCTGCATTTGCGTGTGGGCATGTGAGTGGACAGAGGCAGAGCGCAGGGGAGAGAAACCGGATCAGGAGAAAGGCTGCCAGCCAATCCACTGCAAAGCAATTACTGGAGAAAACTCTCTTGTCTGAACTTGGCCTTAGAGTCAGGTTGTTGCAGCCATTGGGGAGGGAAATGCCTTGAGCACTTCCATTTTGGAACCGAAATATGTGGAATAAACTTTCATTTAAAAACAAATTCTGGCACATCCCTTCTGCAAATCTGCAACCAAATGTTCTTCTTGCTTTTAATGTTTAATATTTTAACTATGTTTTATGCTCAGTTTGTGGATTATTTTGTATTATTTGGATATATGTATGTATTTATTGTACTTGACTTGTAAGCCATCCAGAGACCCGCAAAGTATTGGAGGGGGTAAAAATACCCAAATAAATAAATTAAATGTGTTTAAAGAAGAAGAAGCATAGTTTGCAATCCTTTGCCTGTTGTTGTTGTTGTTTTTACCTAGAAGAATCTTGTAAGATACTTCTGTGTTGCTTCCATTCTGCAGAAACCAGGGTTGACAAAGATGGTGCCAGTGTTTACGCTCTACTTCTGTTTACGAGTGAAGCCTCAATAATAAGACTGCCCGTTAAGTAAAGATTAACTGGTTTTTAATCAATTAAGTCATTCATTGGAGGAAACAAATGTATATGTTAACAAATTCTAAATATCAGGTGTTTTTTCAGCATATTGAAAGACATGTGAAAACGTGCATTCAAAAAACTAAAGCAGGGACTCCCTGTTAGAAAGAGGGGCCCTTTTCCATATTTTCCTTTTCATTCCAAGAATACAGGAGAGCAAAATCCAACGAAATCAGTCTCGGCCTCACTGATGAAAATGTATCCTTACCCATTAAACGGCTCTAGCTCTGTTTTATTGATAGACGAATTAAAATCCATTAAAGGCAATGTGTGAACATCTGTTGTAATTAAGGGGAAAGTTGCAGGTCTGACCTGACTCCTCATGTAAATATTTTTGTCCTCCTAGGGATCCCTGGCAAGAAGGAAGTGCATGTTTTCAATATGACCTCCCTCACCAAGTCAGAAAACATCCTGTCGGCTTTGCTGCATTACCACGTTGGAGAGCTCCAGAACAGTAGCACAGATTGTCCGCAGCTTAAGGGCTGTTCGCAGCACGGGCACAGCAAACCTGACGTGCAAATTAACCTCTCGCTCTTGAGTTTCCCTTCCTCGGGAAACCACACTCGGACCCTGGGAGATTATTCAATCAACATCTCCACTGCTTCTTGGGATGCCCGTTCTTGGCGGTGGAAGAACATTACTCATGTCTTGAGTAAGGCTAAGCAAGACAATGACCTGCTTATTGGAGTCAAAATGGCCTTGGTGGGCCACCTTTCCTGGAAGACCACGCATCCCAGCTACGAACCATACATCCTTGTTTACGCGAACGACTCTGCCATTTCGGAACCCGAGAGTGTTGTTTCTAGCCTGCAAGGGCACCGTAGTCCCCTCCCCGGGAGTTTTCCAAAATTAGACATCCATTCGAAAAACAGCCTGGGTGACCGGCGGCAAAAACGCTCCGCCAGTGTCCTGCTGCCTTTGCAGAACAACGAGCTTCCTGGTGCTGAGTATCAATACAATGAGGACGAAGGATGGGAGGAGAGGAAACACTACAAAACGCTCCAGCCGCGACTGGCAGCGAGGACAAAGAACAAGAAAAAGCAGAGGAAAAACAACCATCCCAAAAGCCAGACGCTCCAGTTTGATGAGCAGACCCTTAAAAAAGCAAGGAAGAAGCAGTGGAATGAGCCCAGATACTGTGCCCGCCGGTACCTCAAAGTGGATTTTGCCGATATTGGTTGGAGTGAATGGATTATTTCCCCCAAATCTTTTGACGCCTATTATTGCTCGGGCGAGTGCCAATTCCCTATTCCAAAGGTACTTTCATCTTTTCTTAATGCTCTACTGTTCTTCCTTTATCTGTATGCACAGTGCAGGGAAATGCATTTGCATCCTCTTACCTGCATGTTAAAAGCATTAATAACATTCAGATCGGGTTGTTATTCAAGAATAGTGTGGAGGAAACAGGCCATTTTAAAAATGTCCCCCCCCCCCTTATGGGCCATTGCTAAAACGGTTCAGTACAAATTCAAAGCTGGTTCACACACAGATGTAAAGGTATTGTTCCAGGAGGGAATCACAGCAGACTTCCTATAGGCTGTGAAGTGCTTATGCTTCATGGTCATCATCACCATCTCATGACTGCCTACATAATAATGTTCACTACTATCCCCTGCATGCCCATTTCCAAAAACACAACAGTGTTTAGTGCTTTATAAAAGTTGCAGTCCATTCCCAAAATTTCCTGTACCGGAAAATAAGTGCTTTAAATGAGGTGTAGGAAGTCGCAAGCCGTAACATTCCACTTGGGCTCCAGAGAAATGACAATGCAGAAGGCTTTAGATGATGATCGGTTACAAATATCCCACCTGCCCCGGCACTTCTTCCAAGAACTGGGGCTTGGGAAGTTCAGTATTGTTTATCTCCAGTACAAAATCTAGGCAAGGTGTTAGGACCCTATTAATAGTTCTCCTAGTTACATTCCAAAAGAAGCAAACATTCACAGTAGAAAAACGTGAAATGTTGGCATAGTGCAATTAACTGGTTAAGAAAAGCCATTCAGGTTCATGCTGGCATTGCAAAGTTCAACTCACCCTAAAATTAGCAGTCACCAATACTGTCTTCAGCCCGGCCTATGGCCTAAAGTATAACAGTGGGTGAGTCTGAGGATGTGGCACTTCTGGTCCATGAGAGTTCAGATTCAGAAGCTGGGTTCTTCAGGGGTGCTGACCATGGTGTCCAAGCCCTGGTGCCTGGAGAAACCTCCGAGCTGAGATTGCCTAGCACTGGATGAAGCTGTACTTCTCATCCTTGGCTAACAGGCTTTGTTGTGGGGCCTGCTGCCCCATATGGGGACGATATGCCCTGGGTGACTTGAGCAGCATGTGCTTCTCCCAGGGTCGGCCCAGTCCCTTTCCCTCCATTTGGAGAGGCACAGAACTCCCCCGTGCTCTCAGCACAAGACAGAATGCGTGGCTCCAGGACAGCAGTGGCATAGCCACACCTGTGGACACCAAGCAGCAGTCTGTCTAGGGAGCAATTGTCCCCTCGCCCCTTCTGGGTTGCCCCCACTGGTCTTGCTTGGCATTGCGGTGAGGTAGGCGCTTCGCACCTCACGCTCCAGGCCAGAACTCCTGTGAGATGGCAAGCAGGGTTCTTCAAGGACATTTTACATTACCTGACGAAGACACCCTTGTTTTGCTCAATTCGCCACTCCACTTAAAGCTGAGGGCATTATCAGGTGTGTTCTTCCCGGGTGTAAGAACTCTCCTGGGAACCACAGGCCTCAAGCAAGAGAACCTGATAAGGCCCAGCCTGCTCACGAGCAAGAGTGATGTGGTGAGCAGCTGAAGTGGAACCCCGAGCGGCCGCTCTGTGCATCCATAAGCTGATGCTGGTAGAGCTTCACTGTCTCTGATCATGTCTGCTTGATACCGTATGGCTGCTTCCCTTCTCGCATCGATGCCCTTGCTGGCCCAGAGTTTAAAAGCTTCCTCTGTCTTGGTGTAGCCTTTTTTTGATGCAGGATAAGAGTTCTTATCCCTCCCCCTGACTGGCAAAATGAAAAAAGAAACCCGTGTTTGTGTCTGGAGACGGGAAAGAAAATAATGAGGGGAAGGGGAGTTGAGGTACTTGATGGAAATGGCCATGATGACAGAATGTGGATTCACACGGTCCCATTGATAGCAACAGCTGTTTGCATGAATGGAGCCCAAGACAAGGCACCACTGGAGGAGTTTATTTAATTATTATTGTGTTTATTTACCACCTTTCTCCCATTGCGGGGTGCAGGGTGGTTGTGTGCAGTTCCCAGGCGGTCTCCCCTCCAAGCTCAGGCCAGTCTCAGACTTGCTTAGCTTCAACATGGCAGATGTCTCATGTGCCTTCAGACCACACTCTGGTCTAAGGCTTTCCTTTAGGCATATATTATTTTGAACTTCAGCAAAGCCTTAAACAGAAAAATAGCTAAATTGTCTTCTTACATGTATTAAATAAATCACAGTAGATGCATATGAAATCTGTACCTAGATATACATAATGTCATAAACAAGACAACCAGCCAGGTGATATTCTGAAACAGCAATTTTAAACTAATGTCTGAATAAAACTGTGTAAGACTTCTTTATAATTGAATGAATGACATAATTCTTCTTAAGAGTAGTTCTGCCAAAACCAAGGGAAAAGAAGTGGATCCTCAAGGGATCCCTTTTAAGTGTTGTGCCTATAGAGACAAAACTTTTCAGCACCAAAGGAATGCCTTTACACATTTCTTTATCTCCTCCCTGGGTCTTTAGGAGCTTAGTACTACTAAGTATTCTCAGAAGGAGCTCCTGTAGTTTTCGCAGGATACACAGAAATTAAGCAGGTGAAGCTTTTCTCATCCCCTTTATTTCTAAGCCAAGAAAAGCTTCATTTGCTAATCTCAGGTCTGTTCAGCTGACGCTGAAATACCAGAGCAAGACTAGCTATACAAAAAGCTAGTACTATATCATAAATTAAATTCCGGTTGATTGGAAAGCAATTGAACATTTCTTTTGCAAACACAACGTGGATGAACTTTGCTCAGCACCTGATAGTTGCCTATCTTTAATTTCAAAAGGAGTTTTCCTCAGCTTGCATTTTTCTGTGGCAACAGGCTATTTTTATGTACTGTATTTCTGACTATTTATATTCTGCATTTGACCTTTCATAAGGCCCTCAAGGCTATTTACACTTATTTTTTAGAAAACCACCACATGCTGCAAGAATACTGCATAAAGCACGATACAGTTATAAAACTAAAACAGTATCCAGTAAAAGGCAGGTTAAATCGTCTTACAGAGAGTAAAGATCTCTGATTTTTTTTTTTTTTTGAATGTTTTATAATCTTTCCTAAAAGCTTTCGGTTCTGATAGGTGTCTCAGCAAAAGCTCAAAGGAAAGGTACATGATGCCCTTCCTCTTTGAAGCTAAGCATATCGAGACCTGATCAGTGCATGGATATATTGCTTTCTATTCCTTCCACATTCGAATGGTTAAACTGTCAATCCTTTTTCTCCCCCAAATATGAAGAGCTTTGCAAAAGCTGGTAAATTCTTATCAAAACAAACTGGAGAGTCATCTGAGTGGGATGGTCTCCTGCAACAGCAGGGGGTTGAACCCTGTGGCCTTCTTGGCCCCTTCCAACTTTACTCTTCTGTGATTCTGTGAATTTCTCTGTCCCCTGTACTGACAAATATAAAAAATGCAGCTATTTCTAGCTTAGATATAACTACGATATACCTGCTTGCCATGTAGCTGTGGAAGAAGTTGCAACCTTAATTGCAACCTTAATTCAGTAGTAAGATGGTTGAATACATGGGGATTCAAACCTGGACTTTTGGGAGCTAAGCATACAAATCCCTGAACCTTCATGGACATATTGGGCAGTTTTAATTCCTTCTAAATTTGAAATTTTTCATTGCAAGTTCTTTTTGTCCTGAATATGGAGAACTGGCAGCTTGTGTAAATTCTAATCAAAATGAAACTAAATTTTATCCCCACCGAATGCCTGGCTGGGAAACATACTGGGATTCCCTCATGCCTCCTTGGATTCCAAAACGGAGGGCCAGTGGGGAACTCAGTATGGTGAGTGGTCAGTGTTGGACTGGGACTTGGGAGATCCAGGTTCTAATCTCCTCTTGGCCATTCAGTTGACTTTGGAACTTCCATCGATGCTCAGCTTGATCATCCTCACAGGGTTGTTGTGAGAATAAAATGGAAAGGAGGAGGACGGAAGCCACACTGGTTCCTTGGAGGTGAAACGGTGGGATATCAGTGTAATATATGTATGTATACATGCAAATACATGCATTTCCTATTAGTGGCTGAGTCAGGATCCCATCCATTGGCCACCTCCGCACAGCTGCCCTTATGTAACCCGCCCAGGGAGCCGCATGGCTAATGGGGCTGGTTATAAATTTAATAAATAAATGTGCTTCATCTGCATAGATCTCAGATGAACCATTAGCACACTGGAGAGCTCAGGGATGCAGGCAGACGGCAGCTCAGATCCCTGTACCTGAACACCATGAAGGGGTAGGCAGAGGTAAGCACAGGTGTACTCATCCTACAAGAAGAAATTATCACCTGCACACAGCGTGGGCTATTCCTACTAAGAAAAACCAAACCATTTTAGCCCCTGCTGGCATTCAGTATCCTTCCCATGTTCAGGCTGGGTGTTTCATCCAGTCAATAATTTATATAATTGTAAATAATCTGGAATAAAATAATCTATTTATTGAGCAGATATTCTTATTCAGCAGATATTCTTATTCTTACAGCTCTATGCCATCCCATAGCTGAAGCTTTCTGGGCAGTTTACAGCAATCAGTAAAACAAGACAAGAAAATGCAATACAGATACCATAAATCAGAGAAACATTAAAAAGTTTCAAACAGCTAAAACTAGCAACGAAGGAGGGCTCTGGGCTGGGTTGTCACCTGAAGCCCCTGGGGTGCCAAGCGGATTTTTAAATGTTTTGGCATTAAAGGCCATCTTAATCTGGAGCTAAAAGATGGCAGGTCTGGTGCCAAGTGGGCCGCATAGATGCTGTTGCATCGGTGAGGGGCCAACCCAGAGAAAGCCCTGCCCCTTGTCAACACTCTCCCAGCCTCCTTCGGAGGAAGACCTCAGAGTGCCAGCATTGCGCCTAAGCAGACCGTGACTGGGAAAGATCCTCGGACAGGTACTGCAGTCTGAAGCCATGTGGAACTGTGCAAGTTAAAACCAGCGCTTTGCATTGAAGCGTTCGGGTCGCCAAAGCAAGCGGGCCAAAATTGGTCGCGTGTTTGGGCCTGTTGGTTCAAAAGATAAAGCCTGTGCGGGAGGGTCTCTTCCTCTCCATTTTCCTCAAACACATGATTGGCGAATCCCGGTCACCTCTTTAGTGGGGAGAAGGCAGAGGCTGGGAGTTGGGCTCCAAAACACCTGGAGGGCATCCAGTTGACAGAGTCTGGGTTAGAATGCTGGACAAGGGCTGAGAAAACCCTGGTTCACATCCCAACAGGGCCATAATGCTTACCTGGGTGACCACGGGCTAGTCAACATCTCTTGCACTAACCTAGCTCACCAGATAGTTTGTGAAGCTGACATGGTGAGGAGAGTTGGAAGGTTCTTGTAATAGTTGTAATAGTTGGAAGGTACTGGAGTTCCTTGAAAGAAGAATAGGAGAAAGACAGAACAATATATTTAAGCCCTTTTTGCATAAGATTGACCAGTTCACGGAACAGCATCTTGGGAGAGCTCCTTTCTTTATTCTGGGCTATTTATAGAGGTAAGAGAAGGGCTCAGTAAAAACGGAGGCACATGTTGTATCTTCCACTTCAGCAAGGGAAAAGAGGGTCTGCTTGAGTTATGTTGTATTTTAGAGAGGAATTTAAAGATGGTTTAGGGGCAGGGGTTTGCAACTTGCATGGAAATCAAAAACAGAGATTGGCCTGCTCTTGAAGTAAAAGACTGACCAGAGCCAACCAGAAGTTACCTCCAGTCGAGTGCAGTGCACGGGTGTCAGCCAGAACTGGGCACACAGAGTGTGATAGAGAGAGCTAGAATCCTGATCAGCTGTCCAGCGAGGAAGGGGAAAGGGTGCTAAATCCAGCCCCTTTTGCCCTGAAGCTTCCGGCTTTGTGGCTTACACAGGTGCAGTCTTGGTGTCTGGAGCCTGCTGGGGGATCACGCACAGCCCTGTTTGCACACATGACTCTACATGCAGCAAGGAAGGCCGTCGCTGCACAAGGACGGACTGTCCTGTTGCTTTTAGCATCTCTAGGTTGCAATGAATTCTTCAAGATTACTGTGAAAGAGCTCTCTGTTCCTATGAAACACTATTGTTGCAAAATCAAGCATTTTGCATTCCTTGGGTAAAATAGGCGCACTTCATATATTTCACCACGAGCTTCTTACAGGGAAAATGGAATGGAATGGGTCATAACTTATTTCATATCATATAACAAAGGATGACAAATGTTGTGTCTTATTTCAACACTAAAGGTGCTTCAACAGAACTAACCTTTAGTTCAGTTAGGAATGAGGCCAAGTCAACTAAGAAATCTTCATTTCTAATTTCTCCTGCACAAATATGTAAGTACTAGATAATATTAACGTCCATTCAGGCTGTGATGCAGCTGCAAACACGCTTACCAGGAAATAAAACCAATTAAACTCAGCAGGAGTAAATGTGCCTAGAAGTGAGTTGCAGACATTCAGGGCCTATTTTTCTAATCAGCTGGACATAATATTAATGCAAATTGGGAAAATAGTAAATACAGTAACCCTACCTTCTTTCTCAATTATCTGTAGCTCCCCACTCCATGATGTATATTACTTCCCCACTTACTTCTTATGTGCTCAGCATTAAAATATTGGCTTTTCTTATGCAGCATTCCATTGGTTCTTCTCACACTTTACTTCGATCTCTGCTGAATATTTCTGTTGTAGTTAATTGCTATCATTTCTGTTTTATTTTATTAGATGTATATCCCGCTTTTTTTCTTGCAAAGAATTCAAAGTGGCTTACCAAAGTCTCCTCCTCTTCTCAGTCTTATATTCACAACAACAACCCTGTGAGGCAGGTTGGGCTGAGAGTCTGTGACTGGCCCAAAGTCACCCAGTTGGCTCCATGGCTGAGTGGGGACTAGAACCCAGGTTGCCTGAGTCCCAGTCTGGTGTGCTTAACCACCACACCACACTGGCTTTCAGGAATGTTTTGCTTTGTTACTGTGTGTATTCTTGGCTGGTAAATGCCTTGAGTTTGTTGGAGTTGGGGGCTATAAATCTTTGAGTATAATAAAGCAAAAATAGAAACGCTGCTATCTACAGAATTCTGCAATGTATGGAGCCATTTCTCAAGTGCTTCTCTCTTGAAATGCTGGCTCTATAAAGAGATTTATATCCAGCTTAAACACACACGCTGACGCTGTGGAATAACACTGCACTGATGCTCAGTGTGACAGCACATTCATCTACATTTCACTGGTTTGCATAATAGTATTTTGCTGGGTTGCATAAAAGTATCATCTGGTGGGAAGGTAAGCAAAGGGTCAGTGCATCTCTGGACACCCAGGGCTTGCCTTTTGTGCCACCAATTCTGCCACAGTATGGAAAGAGCATACACCTGTCTGTGTAACATGACTGCTACGTTCCAATCTTGTGTGCTGCCATTACTTTCAGAAATCATGGGACATTTGTGAAATTCATTAGCTGGGTCCTGACATAGGCTCTTGGAGCAGAATCTTTGTATAGCTTTTCAATCCCAAATTGTTCTAAAAGTGGGCATTTCTGCAGCTAAAGATTGGTTTAAACAGACATCTCACAGGAAACCGTGGGAATTACTGTCATGGGTATGCAGCAGGCATGTCCAGCAGAGAATTCCCCGCCCTCCAGGGTTTTTTCCAGGGTTCCTTGAAATTGCAACAGCTAGCAATCAAACAGCCCAGGTTTGCAGTGCATATTCGCCTACTGGTACGCTGCTCTAACAGACCAGTTAAACACGGCATGTTCCTAGTCCACTGTATTCCCAGCTTGTTATTATCCTTCTTGTCTTCTGCAGGCCCTGAAGCCGTCAAACCATGCCACCATTCAGAGCATAGTGCGAGCTGTCGGCGTTGTCTCGGGGATTCCTGAGCCTTGCTGTGTCCCAGACAAGATGTCATCCCTCAGTATCTTATTCTTTGATGAAAATAAGAATGTGGTACTCAAAGTCTACCCAAACATGACAGTGGAATCCTGCGCCTGCAGATAACACTTCCCTTCCTCTGAGGCTTTCCTAAATTCCCCTCTCCCTGCATTGACTTAGTTGCTTAACAGTTCCCCCCTACAGCCATTTTGCACTGCCAACGCATTTCATTCTCCACAGATGTATTAAATATATGTATGAATGAATACATTAGCAGGAGCTGAGAAGGAATGCACCATAGATTTCCAGAATATGGAAGGACCGAACTGAAACTTTCTTACTGTGAGGATACGACAGAGAAATTACAAAGCTCAGCACCAGTAACAAACTCTTTGTGGCAAGCTATTAAAAGAAAACCTCTAAAAGTCTGGAAAGAAATCATCAAGATGATTTGAAGATGGGCAAGAAGACCCTTTGGTACATTTCTGTACAAAACTTTGAAAGCAGTTAAGCAAGCCACTGCTGTTGTGGTCCATTCTTCCAGAAATGAATGGAGAAGGAGATGTAAGATTATGCGTTCGAAGCTAAGCTTTCTGCCTTAGGTGTCTGGAATTCTCCCCAAAGTGCTAAATGACGTAATTAGTTCTGACAGCCTAGGAGCCTAAGAAAATCCAACGTAAGATGTTTATTTTCTTGACATGGTACGTCAGTAGGGCTCGGTGCATGTGTCATGTACACAAACAAGGGCTTTCTTTCACTGAATCATGAGAATCTTTAATTTGCAAGAAAGCATACTTCTTTTTGTACATCTACTAAAGGTTCGGTGCATGCCACCCATAAGCGGCATGAATCCCTAAACCCTTATTCTCTGCCGTGGGAAGATGGCAGCCGGAAAGCAGTGAAAACGGGGATGGCAGAGGGCAGAGCAGGGTCTGGTTTACCAGGTTACCATCACCATGTTTTGTACTAAGCCTTTTTGTAATGAATGGGTAGACCAGCCGAGACAAGTTAGCAGTGCAATGATACACACATCTGTTCAGAAGTCAGTTCTGCCGCATTGCAGCCTTACCTGTGGCAGTCTTGACCGAGTGAAAGCAAGCATTACGAAGAGGTGGAGCCATGAACACACGTTCTTTTCCCCAGCTGGCGTTGTACCTGCAACCTGGTATGGCTAGCTCATGGGATTAGCAGACTGCATGGCCACAGGTTGAAAGTTGCTTGCTCTTGCACTGGGCTACCCTTTCCAAATGAAAATGGCGGCCAGCTCCGTTATGCAGAGGATGCTGCGGCATATCACCCCCACCACGAACGGGTGATTCCCTTTCCCATTTGTAGCTGGAAAGGGCAGGGTTTAGGGTGGATTCTCACTTGCCATTGCCACGCATCTCACAGACGATGTTAAGTGCCTTCTCTCCGTCAAAAGCACTGGGCAGCTCTCTTGCATTCCAGCAAAGTTCTGGGTCAGGGAATGAGGTTGCAAGCTTTAATTTGCAGCTCGGAAGTGATCCATTGCAGCTTCAAAGGGTTGAATCGTCTCTTACTGAGGAACTGATGCATTCGTTATTAAGCTATCTCCTTCTCCATGTAAAATAATAATAAAATAAGACTTTTTGTACTTTTTTTGCTTAGGATCTAAAGCTTGTACAGTTGGCATCAGCAAAGTTAAAAAAAAGCCAAAGGATATTTGTATATGGAAAGAAGCTTTATTAATGCCTTTAATTTATTTTATTTCTGTTGCCTTCCTGTATATTAATTAATTTCCACTTTTAATACTTTTAAATACACACACCAGTTTTTACATTAATTTTTACAAATTATATATATATGTCTTCAGAACCAAATGAGCATGTTACAGACACACTGAGAAGGGTACTTTTCACTACTGATGTGTAAGCTTGCCTGACTTGTATTTGTTTCTCTCCTTCAGTAATAATATTTTTTTTATTGCAAACAACTATGTACATTTATGTTGCATGTTTTTAAATAGGGTTCTTCATTTGTCCTTTGATGTTTAATAACTGCAAAACATTATTCAGCACAACTGTAGGAACACCACTCCTTGTTTTCCAAAGTATCGCAAACGGTTTTGAACAACGGAACATAAGGAAGCTATTTTTGAAAACAGGACAAACAAATGAAGCTGACAGCCAGCACGGCTTAGCTAATCCTGTCTCCCCTCCACACACATAAAAGTGCCTCTTATAATTCCAGGTGAACAACAAAATAAAACAACCTTAGAAGAAAAATGCCACACCTTTGCCATTGTATATACCTTGTTGGATCAAGGTTGGGCAGCTCTGAAATAGACAAAATATTGATCAGCTAGTGGTTGAATACTAGTCGCCAGAAAGTAAAAACAGAACGCAGATCACATTTCGAGGGGGTGCCTGTGAGGGGCAAAGGACTTGGGTCTCTTCATTGACTCCAAGCGTATGGATCACACAGTGTGGGGTGAGTAATTAAAAACTCCCTCAAACATTTTTGTGATACAAGATCATTATGGAAAGATAACCAGGCAGAGGAGATGGCTGAGCTTCTGACAAAATGGCAACTGTCCTCAGAGGATTCTGGGTGTTCCTTTTTTTATAACCTTTGCTGCTGCCCCTATTTTGTCAGTCCAGGCAGCTCATTGGAGGTCTTTTGCCTTGAGACTCTCCCTCTCACTCAAAAAATACTAGGATCTGCTCCAAAAAACATTCTGTTCCCCATCAGATTTTTGGGGGAAACCCCCAGTGTCAGAGGGTTTCTTTCAGAGAAAAAAATATATCTCTACCTCCATTTCAGATCAGGTCTCAGCACAGACCACAGACTCAATTTAACCTTGCCCATTTTTGAGTTGGGAGGGGGGAAGAAAGGTGAGTCATCTCCCTGCATCACCTGTGCCTTCTAGGCCCATTTGAAGTGCCACTGAAATGAAGAATCAGAACGTAACCAGATATGAATGGTCCTTGGTCAGATCTCAAGAGATACTGACTGGGATCAGAAAACACTTTGGCCCACAGTTACAGGTATGGGTTGGGTGTGGAGTTGCTGAGCTGTGAGTTCCTATGTTGTCTGAGCCCAGCCGAGATAACAAACTGTGGTGAACAGCCCACTGTGTTGTTTGTGGTTAACAAGCCATGGCTTGTTAGCACAGCTGGGTTCGGACAATGCAGCAATCCACAGTTCAACAACCAATGATGGCTCAATGACACATCTCCCTCAAATCAAACCAAACCCTTAAGTGGGAGTCATTGGGTTGTCTGAACCGTGCCATTGCCCCAAGGCACTCACATTGATAGCTCATTTTCCTTAAATAATAGAATCGAGGTTTGCATTTTGGGAAGAATTGTGATTCTTCTCGCAGTCATAGACTTTAGACTGCAAAAGGCCATTCAGACCAACTCCAAAACCATCACAATGCAAAAAAAAAAAACAATTACAATTACAATTCAAAAGTAGCATCTTCTCCAAACCAATCAATTTCACCCAATCCTTTCCTTTTGCATTCCTACTATACATCCAGAACACAGCGCTGGAAACACACACAGCTATTATCCCGCTGCCTCAAGGAATCATCCAATAGGCAGTGCTCTAAAGGTTGATTCCTGCACAGTGGTGGGGGTATTAATATTTGCTTGGTCTGGCTTAGAAGTTGCTAAAAGGATCTGGGGAGAAACCACTTTTGGATTTCATTGAGCTCAGCTGGTGCAGGTCAAAACAGGATTGGACTCAAATGATGCTGTGGAATCGGTGCATCAACACTAGAGAATTCCACTGCTTTGCCTCTGCCAGGGAATTCAAGTTTTGTAAAGTGCAAGAGCAGTCTTTTCAGACTACACTCCCCAGCATTCTTTGGGGGAAACTTGATAATTAACTGGTGTAAAACACATATGAGTTTGTAGCACAGTGCTTTCAGGGGCTGAGGGTTTTGCTCAAAATTTGGTCCACTTAAGGAAAGGGAACATGGGTGGAATTGTACCAGGATATCATGCTTGCTGTGGGCCAGCAGTTCCTTTGGTTCAAGTGAAAAGTGGTTCTCTCCCCTTGGAGTAGAGTGAAGCTTCATTTTTGCCCTGTACAAATGTATGGTGCCTGTAACAGTGTGGATGGAAAACACATCTGGAGAACAGAAGAAATAAGACACTGATTAGTGGACTAAGGTATGTTAGGATCTTAAACTGGATACAGCCTTCTCTTCCTCTGTTAAGAAATTATTCAGCAAATTTCAATGGAAGTTTATCCGAAAGGACTGGTTTATGAGAAGGGGATTCTTTGCAGTCTCTTACACCATCAAAGGGAATGATGAGATGGTAAAGAATGTAACTTCTTCATAAAACAGCTTTTGAAAAATCCCCATGTGGTGGAGGAAAGGGCAGAAGGCATCTTTTATATAAGATTTCCAGAGATCAAAGTTCTCTTTTCTTTGACATCCTTCAATGTACATTGCAGATTTCCCCAAACCATAAGGTAACAGCTAAGAGAAACTTCAAAGACCAAAACAAGAAAAAGCATTATGTTGAAAACAGGCAATTCAGGTGAAAAGTGGAGATGGCATTTATGTACATGGATCCATTTCTCCTGTAGCAAAGTACAGGTTAAATTGCTATCACTCTAAAGATGCGGCAAGACTTGCATTCTTAAAGAACTGACAGATTTGCTTAAATCCAGCGTGGTGCAAGAGTATGAGACTTGCCCTGTTGCACTAGGGCGGAAGGTCATCTCGTACAGTAGTTCACCAGAGCTCTTAAAGAGGGGATAATAATGATGACACCCAGTTCAGGTTCAGCAAAGAGTGCCAGGCTGGTGTCCCTGGTGTGCTTACCTAGCATCACAAATGGCTCAGCCACATTCATTCATTCATTCATTCATTCATTCATTCATTCATTCATTCTATTTATATCCCACCTGGTTTTCCCTTCCAAGGAACTCAGCACCCATTCATGGCTGCTAGACCACTGGTTCTCGGTGCTGGCATCACTACTTAAATTTTTCGTAGTGCACCAAAATGACCAGGACCAGTGCTGCCATGCGGTGGGCTAAGGAACTGTTCCAGAGGTGCCACAAAACGAGTAGGCAGACAAAAATGGACAGTGGACAAAGACGGGCAGCAAAGCATTTTCAGGTACTGGTTCTAGTGTTGAGATTGGGAGGCAGGT